AAGATGGCGACGGCCTAAATGCCAAACTGGAGCCCCTTAAAACATCCACAAAGCAATGAGTGACGTCACAACGACTACGTCCACTTCTCATATACAGTCTGTGGTCTGGACAGAGAGCACAAAAGGAAAACGTAGCAGTGTGGATGACACCTAAAGGTGAAAGTTAATGTATTAAACTCACCGCACTCAAAGACTCTGGGTCTGGGACAAACCCAGAGAGCATTTTGATATCCAGGATCACCATGTTTGTACTGATCTCCTTTCCACTATACCTACAATACAAGGATATAAAAACTGATGTTAATCTGCTACCAAGTTATAAACATCTCTCCCACGCATCACTACCAACGGTTACTGAGTTCACGTGGCTCTGCTTGCTGACGACTTACTCGACCGTGATCCTCAGAGTGAATTTGGGTCTTTTGCTGGGGCAGGTGGCCTCTGGTGTGACCTCGACACTGAGAGTGGTGACATCAGCAGGAATTGGGATGTTATAGTGATGCGAAATCTGAGAAAGAGGTAAACAAGGGGAGGTTTAATATTCATAAACAAGAATGTCTTTTACTCAAAATTGTTGAAATTCATGATGCTTCAGATGTTTGAGAAGTACAGTCTTGTTTTCAAGGGGTTCTCATTTTCACACGCTAGTTTTATGTTGCTGCATTCAAGCATTGATTGGGTTACTTTTGAACCCGTAAATTGAGCATATAAATGTATGTGAAACAATTTATATCTGATCTATACGACAGTTAAAATTTACAATACAGTAAGACCTCCTTATATTTGCATCTTTTCAGGTGAACGAAAACCAACAGGGTCTGTTCCCCCGTTAAGAATTAAAAATAAATCACCTACTGCTAAAAGAAATAAAATATCTGCCTTTTCTCCTGTGTTAAAGGCATAGAAATAAAATATGAGTAGAAAATAAATTTAACTGTTTTATGTGATCATTTGACACGTTAGTTGCTATGGTAACAACAAACGTTAGTAGGGCCGTAAAAGCGTTGACGCACCTCTCCGGAAAGAGAGCAGATGCAGCTCCGGAGACGGATGGCTGGCGAGTTAGCTTGTCCTTCTCCAAACGATGGGGAGTGAGGTGGAGGAACCGTTAGACCCAGCCCACTGTTCAGCTCATCTTCTGTTACCAGTGTAGCATTAAAGCATGGTGGAATTAGAAAGCTAGCTAACTAGCAAGTTGTCCACTAGTTAGCTAGCTAGCTTGCTAATTCCACCATCCTTTAATGCTACACAGGTATCAGAAAATGACCTGAACAAAGTTGTCACTCATCTGGCGATAGCAATGTGCTTCCTTACACTTACGCTTCCTAACGTTTCTACTCCACTCCGTGACTTGTAGTAAGTCGGTTTAGTGTAGACAGAAGTTAGCCCGCTACAACGGCCGCAATGGCAACAGCGCAATAACAATGGACACCGCTCTGACCATCCTGCTACGTTTATTTATTTTCCCTTCTACTCCTATTTTATTTCTATGGTTTCAAGACAACGATATCTTAATTTGCTACTTTTATTTGCCCGGGCAATGGGGAGCCACTGGCTACTACTTTGGAAAAACATGTTGGCATCAAAAGGTATTTACTGTGTAGGTTTAGGTCAAAATGTCTCACTTTATGCAGATGACATATTGTTATTTATATCTGAACCTTACTTAACCTCCCACCTTGGTGAAATATTGTACAATATATAAAATAGGTGTACGGTTAATCTTCAAAAGTTAACTAAAGCCAGCTGGAGGTAAAACAAGAGGATTCTCTATTTTAGCACTCTTTAAGATTAGTCTTTTATTTTTAAACAGTTCGCAATCTGGACCACACTTAGCTGTAATGGACTTCATGAAGCTAATTATCCTTTTTTACGAATTAAAATAACATGTTGCACAATGTGATCTGCTGCCTCTAGGTGGAATAATAAATGCAGTTAAATTGAATATATATATATATATGTATATTTCCTCAATGTCTATATGTTTCAGTATCTCCAATTGTTTTTAACTAAATCCTTTTATAACAATTGAAATCGTCAGATTACACCCTTTCTTTTAAACAAAGCATAGTGCAGGTGGAGGTGAATTAGAGGTATGGCCCTTCCAGCTACTAGACCGCTGACATTAGGTTGTATTATCAGTGTTAGTGGGGGTGCACGTACATCCTATAGTGAACCACTGACCTGCATCACAGCGCATGCACTGCCCTGCACCTCCAGGATGAACATTCCTGTCACATCCTGCAGCAGCTTCTCCTGGTAGAGCAGCTTGTTGTTCTGGTTCACGTCAAACGTCAGCTGTTCGCTGGGAGACTGGACCGTCACCATGCTCGAACCACCGGGACTGAACACCAGCGTGGAGTAGAGAGCCAGAGCCTGAAGAGCCACCACTGTGTCCTACAACACACACACAAAAACAATGTACTTTATGTGCTTGAATGTATTTTTACTTTTGTTTCTACATGCAGCAGCTTTCATATGTAGGAGTTCACTTTT